TGATGAATGGGTAATGTACACACACATATATACGCTCATATAAAAACAGTCAAGATTGATAAGCGAATAATCAATAAGGTCAAAATGTGACTCAAGTAGAATGAATAAATTAGCCTGTCGGAAAGCTAGAATAAGGTATATGGGCTTAGCAAAGCAACCGACATTACAAGTGAAATGTCAAAGATAATATTATTAATCTTAGAAATATTGAAAGAAAACTCGTATGTTACTTCCCCAGGTTTTTTTTCTTTTGAATATACAAAAATGTGATATATTTCTATTGTATTATAATTAAAATAGTTTTGTAGTATATAGACAAAAAAACATTTAAGACACAGATATATAAACAAATAAACTCTCTTCAGTTTCTACAGTCATATATATGTTAATCAATAATTTAAAGAATGACAAATGAGATTGGATTCAGGAGTTTTAGATCTAACTATAAAGAGTAGCACTGTCAGTAGCAACTTTTCAATAAGTATCAGAAGGGGTTTCGTGGATATTATAGTAATTTAATAGTTGCGTTCAGTAGTCAATTGAAGGTAGATCACCATGGAAAACCTAGAAGCATTACATGACCACTTCGTCCTATTGTGGGATTCCTCAGAAGTGCTCATCCACGATTCCGCCTCGCGAGATCCGAACCCAGGACTTATCAGTTTCGCGCGCGAGCATCCAATGGTGTCAATATCTAACTTCACTAAGGGTTGTAATAGTCTGACTTGACTATTAACAAGAACTTTTATCAGAAAATCTTTGAATATCTCAAGTATTAAGGTTTATTTTATTAATATTTGTAGTTATTCTACACATACGTGACGTTTATTAACATAATTTTTAATTATTAAGTATTTACTGATAAGATTCTTTGTTAAAATCCAACTTGAAGATTTAATATCTACCGCGATTGAGTAAACATCAAAAGATAGAATAAGTAAGTAACGAAACATATCAACTTCGATGGTAGTAACATACTTATATATAAAGCTATTTTTTAAATCCCATTTAAAGCCTGATCTATCTAATCATTAAACATTTTTCCCTAGTTAGTGAAATTTATATTATCACTTACATAGTAACCAAGATGTTCACATTCAGACTTGAAATAAATAGGACTCAATATTTTGATAGGTATTTTAAAGTAGATAACAATTTAATAGTTCACTAGAAACAAACAAAATTACAAAACTTATATTAATTGATTTAGTTTGCTTCCTGACCGAATTCTATTAGGTTGTGAACTGATATTCATAGTGTATTATAGAAAATTACATAGCTGTATAAGTTAATCTAAAATAAATATTTTACAGTAATTCTGAAGTACTGGAAGATTAATGAAATACTTTTAACTATAATTCGCTTTTATTTTTGTAGGAAGTTGATACTACTGAATAACCGTTAGAATTTAATTCACAATACCTTTGAAGATGAACAATTCGAGATTATTTCAGAATTAGTGAAATAGTCTTATTTTTAAAAAGTTACTGTTAAGCTTCTTACACAGTTAAAGTATAACTACAGTTAATTTGAAATTTAAGTACACTCGTGGAAAAGTTATTTAATCTATTTTACTTTTCACTTATTTTGTGAGCAATTGGTGGAGAAATTCGAACATTTTACTTCTACGTAAAGTTTGTGCTGATGATGTTATTCAGAATAACGATGAAAGCTCCAAGACTAAACCATTCAATTCAGAGAACAAAACTCGATGAGACTATGATTTATGGACGACCTTTGAACGAATCTTAAGTGAGTTTGATAAATATTAGCCAATCAGAAGACAGTTAGTCTAAAGTAAAAATATGTCATACGAAACCAAAGAATTAAATTAGATACACTTCTGTTACATGGTTCAAAAATTTATCAAGGTTTGAAAGAGGTTCGGAGGTTCTGAGATCGTAATGCATATGATAGAGGAACTCATCCATATGACTACATAATAGTAGGCCTATCGAGCCATGATAGGGTCATAAAACCTCCTTAAGCCCCGACCACATAGCTTCAATATTGCTAGTGTGCGCTCCGGTTATAGAGTTCACAAAATGGCGCTTGTGGACAGCGACATGATGCACATAACCAAGGCTATGCAGGTGTCTGTATGTTCTCCAATCATCTGCATAGATTTTAGTGCCTGGTTGCACATATTCCTGCATAATTGGTATTATTGTCGTTGCCTGTCGGTTTCTGACCCTTTGAAAATGTCCCTTTTGGGTTGACATTCGTAAATTCCAAGGACCTGTGAGGTATATTTATGGAAGCGATACTTACCCAGTCTTCTTTAATACTATATCCTCTGTTAAATATTCGCTTCCTGACTACTGTTTTGTCTATTTCAACGACTCTCACAACTCCCCCAAACGACTGGTGTAAGTATGCGATTTTTATTGTACATATATCTCTACAATACTCATACCACTTAACAGCTGAAATGAAGAAAGTTCCTGTTCGAGCAGACGTCGTCCTACACCATAAATAATATCAAAAGATAATCTCATCACGGTAGTCTGCACACGGTACAACAGTCATTCGATTACCGTAGTGACAAATAAAGGAACTTCTTAGTAATTTCATCTGTTTAAGCAGCTCAATTACCACGTCTTCTCTAAAATTCGTTGTAAACCGATCGTACTTGAGCATTAGGTACTGAAATTGGCGCTGTGACCTTGTAATCCCTCAAACGCTTCTGACTGGTTCGTTTATCAATTATAGTCTCGCTCAAAACTCCATAGAAATCACCTACCTGAGCTACAAATCTTCCCTGCCATCCCGTAATTATTATACCCCTGATTGAGTTAATCTTTAAGTACTTAGAAAAAACCAGGATTGTCATCAGTTTATTAAGATACTGTATGCTTGAATATAAACATTACAGGCGAAAAAATGTAGCTTAATTATTTAATTTGATCATAAACGTTATTAAAAGATTTATCAACAGATATGAAGAAGAATAAACGAAGGTCTTATCAAAAACTAAGAAATAAGAAAGAATCCATATGATTTTGTCTCTCAGTTGTATATAAAAATCTGTTCAAATTTTTGTTTAAATGATTGTATTATCATTAGTAAAATGTGTGGTAATATTCATTAAATGTTCCGGTACCAGTAAGTTTGATCATTTGTACTTCTTCACCCAAAATTCCTTCAAACTTCCATATAGTTTCATATTGAATAGATTTTCTGATTTTGGAAAAATACCAAAAAAATGCGTAAGGACGTTACGTGGTATTCAATACTCAACCTTGAAAAGTTCTTATTTGATTACCGAGTATTATCAATTAATATCACACAATCCTCCTTTATTAACTTAAGTGGATAATTTTCAAACATTTAGTATACTAGAACTCCGCCAGTTACGATTTCTTAATTAAATTCCTAGAATAACCTTTCCTGGTTAGTTATTAGTGAGCTGGCGATCATTATTAACACAGGCGGTTTGAGGAAGTCGTGGAATTTTAAAAGTTTTCATCACGATTTGGTCCCAGGTCGAGTTGTGGATGTATATAATTATGGAGTAATATATTGGGATGAAACAGATGTTCAGTAGTTTCTGGTGTTTAACAGTGGTCAAACTAAGATAAGTTCGGGATTCAAACAACCTCTATAAGTTCTTTATATTATGATTCGTAATTGATGTTAATTAAATTCTTCTAGTGTTTTTTTAGCATTATGTTACCTTCATCTAGTAATATTTATATCTCACCACTTTGTTTCGAATGATTGTAGTCAATGAGATTGGAAATTTGATTGCTTTAGTTAATAAATACTTAACTTTCAATTTTCTGGCAGTTATATATTCAGTACATCTCTAAGCAAATCGATTTGAGCAACTATATTGCATGATCATTAGGTTTAAAGCATAAAAATATGACAGAAATATAATGATTAGGAATATTTGAATTTTAGTACGAACTAAGAATCTCAGAAATAACGTAATCGGATCAAGAAGTACCATATAACCACAACCGAATGTACTGTATTTAGAATTCGAAATCAAGCATTCAACAAGTACAAAGTGATCATTAGTTCATTCAAACACCGCAAGAAACTTCTTTAGTTCTGAAATATTTAGTGCTGATAACTTTCATTCATTTTATGATAACTTACCATCATATTTTCTCCTTATTTCTTGTGTTATATTGTTCATGACAATTTTATTATTATTATCATAGATGCTGTGACTACTTTTACACTACTCTAGCATTTTATTTACTTACACTTAAACTAGTGTATCAACTTGAACCGATGCATATAGGTATCAGGTTCTGTGTTGAATATAACGGACTGAGTGGTCAAACCTACTGTATTTAGAGTTTGAAAAAAACGAATTATTAAAACATTGAGTATTTATTAATTGATTAAATTGTTAAAATTTATAAATTACCTTGGTTTGAATTCTACAGTAATCAAATCAATATAACTATCTTCATTAGATGAAAATGGATTCAAATAGCCTGATATTTTATTTGCCATGAATACATTGTCTTCATTATGTTCATTTATTTTCTGTTGATTATCTAAAGAGATTAGTTTAATTAAAAGTAAATGATTTATGTGAAACTCAAAAAATGATGGTATTAAGAATTATATATATATATATATATATATATATATATATATATATATATATATATAGTTAGTTAAAGGGTTGTGGAGATTGTTAGGTTTTTGATTGAGATCATGAACCGATTGATGTTAGACCACCTTTGAAAACCTGGAAGCACTGGACGACCGTTTCGTCCTATTGTGGGACTCCTCAGCAGTGCACCTCCACGATCCTGCTCACGGGATTCAAACCCAGAGCCTTCAGTTTCTCGTGCGAACGCTTAACCTACTGGACCATGTAGCCGGCATCCAATGGTGTTAATGTCTAACCTCAACCAATCCACGAAGTTGCGCGACCATCTTCCATTGTAGTGAAGTAGGCACTTGTTTCTACCCGACACGGATTAGCTCCACTGGTCACGGCTTCTCACCAGAACTACGAGAACTCTCTCACGAAGCTAGTCACTAGTGAGCACATGCTATATTGACTGAGTAATTTTCGTTTAATTATTATCTTTTATAGAAATTTTTTATTGATTAGTAAGGTAATGGGTGTTAGATCACAGAACAACAGAAATCACCTTATTATGTAAGTTGAATTAAATTTATCTTATGACTTTATTATTTATAATTTTTCTTTAATCGAAGTCAATAACAATTAATTAGATAATAATAAGATGAGATAATAACAATTTTATGATTATAGAAAAGAAGCATATAAACCTTTATTGCTTTAATTTACCTACTAATTTATACATTCTAAAAGTAGAATCGAGAGGAATCTAAGAAGACAAAATATGAAGTCATTCAAATATTATGTTCAATCAAGAAATTTGAACATACCAAAAAGTTGGGATGATTTAAATTTTAGTTGCTAAGATTATTTCAAATATAATTTCTATCAGTAATAAAAAAAATATGTCTATCAAAAATGAATAAATTAAAGAAATAACGTTTCTGTAATATTAGTAAACTTTAAAGTTTAGCAGGAACTGGTAAACAAGTACATATGAGTAAATACGATCGATTTTGAGCACCGTCAACTAACGTTGACAGTTATTAGATGCTTAAAAAAAACCAAACAAGCTACAGAATAACAGTTACTAACTTCATTATGTGATTTGATACTTTTGATTGTTCTCTTCTATTCTCTTTCTCACCTAATTATATAATATCTAGCATAATATGCTCATATAATATATTTTTCAACAAATTTCATAGATAAGCGTTCACACTGTCAACTGATTTTTTTCATAGTAATCTGATATTATTGTCAATACTTTCTACTTGTTGGTTTCGCTGTAAACGAGCATTCAGCCAAATACAACTATGATTAATAAAAGACAATCAAAATACATCCCATAACCATTGATGTCATTTGTCATAGCAAACAAAATAACTATGTAGTATATCATTTTGTTTTTAGTGAATAGACAAATATCTTATAATAAACTACTACTGTATTTTGACTTTGAAGCTAGGTGATACGGGATCGAATCCATCAGTGAGCATCAGTTCCTTCAAGATTACAGGTACACCTTGCTGATGAGTGCCACGTAGCACAAAACATTGGTTAAGAGTTTCCTGCTAACTACCTCCAACCACCATATTATCTCAACATGATCCACGCAATTTTGAGTCATCTGGACTGGTGGACACGTTGCGACTTGGTCGAAAGGATTCGATCTGCACTAAGAAGGACCTGATATATATGAGATTGATCACCACCCAGTGATCAGTGTCACGTAGAACGAAACCTTGGTTAAGAGTTTCCTGTTGACGATTGTGTTTATAATAATATCAATAATGATATATTTTGTGAAATCACAGTTATTTGATATAGTGGAAGCATATTCTTATAACCAATGGTTAACCAATCGATTTTATCTTATAATGAAAAGAAATGTGACCTCATAAAAACTGTTGTTAAAGAAAAAACTAAGTCAATCTATCAGTTTGACACTATTGGAAAATCCTTATTAAAGCTTTCTAAAAATAAGAATTACAACTGTTCATTAATTCATAGATCTATTTGAATATATTCACTAAATTAAACAAAATGTCGATATTGTAATGTGTATAATTTAAGAGACTTTGATTAAACTACTTTTCAGTTTAGGGGTTGTGGAGATTAAGTTTTTGATTGAGATCATGAACCGATTGATGTTAGACCACCAGTAAAATGGAAGATGGTCGCGCAACTTCGTGGATTGGTTGAGGTTAGACATTAACACCATTGGATGTCGGCTACGTGGTCCAGTAGGTTAAGCGTTCGCACGAGAAACTGAAGGCTCTGAGTTTGAATCCCGTGAGCAGAATCGTGGACGTGCACTGCTGAGGAGTCCCACAATAGGACGAAACGGTCATCCAGTGCTTCCAGGTTTTCAAAGGTGGTCTAACATCAACCGGTTCATGATCTCAATCATCAACTGCTTTTGAAAAGAGCAAGATCAAAGATTCTAGCAGAATAGCATTAACTTATTTTTATTTCGTAGGTTATTAATCTTTCCTTGCCTTGGAGACAAATATTCTTTCTAGCATATATTACATTATTGAGTTTTATTTCAACTATCTTCTAAATTAATAATCTTATTTTATGGACTGAGCTCTACTCACTGTATTCCTATCAATATTTATTCATTATGTATTCACTTGTTTCTAGCCGTTCGAACTGTTGTCACAATCAATGTTGTAGAATGTTCTTTCACATAAGGTATATATTTACAATATTCAGTCTATTAATTTTATTTACACCCTTGCTATACTATACGAATATGTCTTCAATATAACTTCTAACCAAACTCTTTCATGTAAGTAATTTAAACCCACTATGTAATTGTAATTTTAAATATCACGGGTTGTAAGCAGCTGACGAGAACCTACGAAATAAAAATGAATTCATGATATTCTGCTAGGATGTTTGTTCTTGCTCTTTTCAAAATGATAAAGGGAACTATATGTATAAACTACTTTCAAGTTGCTTAAGATCAAGATGTTAAAACGAAACGTAACAAAAATTAATATACAAGTTGAAATCATTAGTCAATTGAAGCTAGACCATGGTGGTCTTGTGAAATTTCTAAAAATCTCCACAAAACCCATTCTGATAATAAAAATTAATATAGTTATAGAATATTGTATATAATTGATTTTTCGATTTGTAGAAATCTATAATAAAAGCTAATCTCTAAAGACTTGTTTAAAGAAATGAAACCTTCTTTTCATGAAATCATACACTATTTATAATAAACAATTGAATATGACAAGACTAACAAATAAAAGTAACTATAGTGAGTAGAAATCTACTTATGATTAGTAGTACAACTGTAAAAATGATCTATCATACATGAAGTATGACGTAGTCTTCAGGATTTTAATCACATGTATCTTCAAAGTATTGTTCACTTACGAATGAACACATAAAATGAGCAGTCCCGATGATTATTATTAGGTATTAGGTAGTCCGGTAGATGAAGATGTAATTCGTCATCGACTGAGGTAGCTGAGACAAGTGTTTATTATACCTAACCAACTCTTACCTTAACATGTAATGCTGACTGAAGTAACAGTAACCTCGAATAAAGGTATGGATAGGAAGACAATCGGCAGTTGATAACTTTTAGTGATATGGCTAATAATCAATTATAAAAGCCCAGACACGTTCACTCTTTATATTCTTTCAGGTTCTGAGTTTTAGTATACCTTCACAAATACCTTTTCATTTATTCTCATTGAAAATTACTGTCCAATATTTAGGAATTTCTCATTATAATTACCATGATTATCGTTTCGACTACTTTGCTATAAATCTAACGCACTTCATCTCGTCGTGCTAATGCGATATGACTAACATTGGAATACGTGGTTCCAGAGAAGTGACCATTATGTTTCTTATGATATGATGTCCAAGAACTAGTTCTAACAGTCAAATCTTAATTTATAGAGAGTGAATGATCTACAAAATAATTTCCTCTAACTGTCTATGACAATCTATCATGTTTATTTTCTTCTACTAGATGGCAAATAAACATGTTATTTTATTCTAAAAAAGAGGACCTATTCTTCTGGTTAGTGATCTTGTCATTAACTTCCACTGATTCATGTGGGACAGTATACGTCAATAATTAAGTTCTTGCGTGTAATCAGCAATCGATTAAGTTACATCATCTCTCATTAACTGTAGTCTAGGATTTTATTTCTTTCCTTTTAATAATTAAATACTCATTCATTCAATCATAACACCTTAATTTATAACATTATAAAATATTGTTGAAATAGTTCAACTGGAATATTAAAGAGAGACTTTTATAAATGATTCACCATTAAAATTAACTTTGCTTTGATTTATCTTCCTCGTCATATGGTGTCCTATTTTACATAGTACTAACATTCAATAGCACAGTACTTACTTACTTACGCCTGTTACTCCTCGTGAAGGAGCATAGGCCGCTCACCAGCATTCTCCATCCAACCCTGTCCTGGGCAATCCTTTCTAGCTCCGTCCAGTTGTAATTCATCGTTTTCATATCTGCTTCTATTATCCGACGCAATGAGTTCTTTGGCCTTCCTCTTTTTCGCTTCCCTTCAGGATTCGAAGTTACGGCTTGTCTCGTGATGCAGTTTGACGATTTGCGTAATGTATGTCCTATCCATTTCCATCGTCTTTTCCTTGATTCTTCTTCACCTCGAAGCTGGTTTGTTCTCTTCCACAGTAGACTGCTGCTGATGGTATCCGGCCAATGGATGTTGAGTATCGTGCGTAGACAACTATTTATAAATACTTGTACCTTCTTGATGGTGGTTGTCGTAGTTCTCCATTTTTCAGCTCCGTACAGTAGAACTGACTGTTTTGACGTTCGTATTGAAGATTCTCATTTTGATATTGGTTGAGAGTTGTTTTGAGTTCCATATGTTCTTCAACTGTAGGAATGCCGCTCTTGCATTGCCACTCCTCGGCTTTACATCTGCATCTGAACTTCCTTGTTCATCGATGATGCTTCCCAGGTATGTGAAGGATTCTACATCTTCCAGAGTTTCGCCATCAAGAGTGATTGGATTGTTGTTCTCCGCTTTGAATTTGAGGACCTTGGTTTTCCCCTTGTGTATCCTGGGGCCTACTGATGCAGAGACTGCTGCTACACTGGCTGTCTTCATCTGCATTTGTTCATGTGTATACGATAGGAGGGTCAGGTCATCTGCGAAGTCCAAATCGCCTAATTGATTCTGAGCTGTCCATTGTATTCCGTGTTTCCCCTCAGATGTCGAGGTCTTCATAATCCAGTCGACCACGAGAAGAAAGAGGAAGGGAGAGAGTAGACAGCCTTGTCTCACTCTGTTCCTTACTTGGAATGCATCTGTCAGCTGTCCTCCATGCACGACTTTGCATTGTAGTCCGTTGTATGAGTTCCGGTTAATATTGACAATCTTCTCAGGAACTCCGTAGTGTCGGAGAAGTTTCCATAACGTTCTCCTATCCACACTGTCAAATGCCTTTTGATAATCAATGAAGTTGATGTACAGTGACGAGTTCCACTCAACTGATTGTTCGACGATGATCCGTAGTGTCGCAATTTGGTCTGTGCACGACCGATCCTTACGGAATCCAGATTGTTGATCTCGAAGTTGGGCTTCTACTGCATCCTTCATCCGGTTCAGCAAAACTGTTGAAGACTTTCCCTGGTATTGACAGTAGTGTAATGCCTCTGTAGTTTTCACATTTGCTCAGATATCCTTTCTTTGGAATCTTGACGAGGTGTCTTTCTTTCCAGTCCATCGGCACTTGTTCCTCCTCCCAAATCTTTTTGAATAGAGGGTAAAGCATGCTTGTGGTTGTTTCGATGTCTGATTTCAGTGCTTCAGCTGGTATGTTGTCGGGTCCTGCTGCTTTCCCGTTCTTGATTTGTCTGACGGCCATTCTAATTTCTTCCGTAGTTGGTGGATTGACATCTATAGAAAGATCTATGTGTGCTGCTTCGATGTTCGGTGGATTCATTGGAGCCGGTTTATTCAGGAGCTCTTCGAAGTATTCTACCCATCTGTTACGCTGTTGTTGAATTTCGGTGATTGGCTTGCCTTCTTTGTCTTTGACCGGCCCCTCTGGTTTACTGTATTTCCCTGCTAGTTTCTTCGTTGTATCGTGAAGCTGTTTCATATTTCCTTCTAGAGCAGCATTTTCTGCCGTCGTTGCTAGTTCTTCCACGTAATTCTTCGTGTCGGCTCTAATGCTCCTCTTCACTTGTTTGTTTGCTTCTATGTATTCAGCTTGTGCTTGGACTTTCTCTGCTCGTGTTCGGCTGTTGTTTATTGCTGCCTTCTTGTTCTTTCTTTCTTTGATCTTGTCCAGTGTTTCTGTAGAGATCCATTCCTTATGATGGTATTTCTTTAGACCGAGAACCTCTTGACACGTTGAAGTTAATGCTTCCTTAATGCCTTTTTCAGTTGTCCTCCATACTAGTTTCTTCTTCTTTCAGTAGATCTTGTAAGGCTTGGAACCTGTTGTCGAGAGCTATCTTGAATTCATTGAGTTTGACAGTATCTCGAAGGAAGGCTGTATTGAACCTTTGTAGTGTTGTTTGTCCACTTGTCCAGTACTTTTTTAGCTTTAGTTTTAAATTGACTACAACTAGGTGGTGATCTGAAGCTACGTCAGCACCTCTCCTGGTTCTCACATCTTCCATTGTCCTTCGGAATTTTTTGTTGATGCAACTATGATCTATTTGGTTCTCTTTAGTGTGGTCCGGTGAGATCCATGTAGCCTTGTGTATACGCTTGTGTGGAAATATTGTGCCTCCTATGACCAATTTGTTGAATGCACACAGATTTGCAAATCTTTCTCCATTTTCGTTTCTTTCTCCCAGTCCATGTCGTCCCATGATATCTTCATATCCGGTGTTGTCTATTCCGACTTTGGCATTTAGATCTCCCATCAGAATAGTTAGGTCCTTTCTTGGGCATTTCTCAATGATTGACTGCAGCCGCTGGTAGAACTGATCTTTAATTTCGTCGTTGCTATCATTGGTGGGTGCATAACATTGGATAATATTCATTAGGATCCCCTCCTTCTTTGTTTTGAATGATGCTTTGATGATTCTGGATCCGTGAGATTCCCATTCTACAAGTGCATTTCGTGCTACTTTGGACAGCATAAGAGCGACTCCCTGAGTGTGTGGAGCATTGTCCTCTTCGTGACCGGAGTATAGCAGCATCTCTCCCGTAGCTAGCCTTTTCTGTCCAGCTTGGGTCCAGTGGGTTTCGCTGATTCCCAGTACTGCTAAGTTGTATCTCCTCATTTCCATTGCTATTTGACTGGTCTTCCCGGTCTCCCACATTGTCCGTACGTCTCATGTACCTATAAAAATTGTTGCTGTGGTTGTTAGAAGGGGCATCGGGCTCGTGGCTTCCGAAGGAACTCGGTTTTCACCATGAAGCGTCATAATTCTTCTAAATGAAGACCTTCTAACTCCCAGGGCAGAGTTAAAATGGCTTGGATTATATATATATATATATATATATATATATATATATATATATATATATATATATATATATATATATATATATATATATATATATATATATATAACGGATATAATTACCATCTATGTGTTTATAGTAATTTACTCAATAAAATTCGATGAAATTTATGAAAAGGGAAAGAATTTATAAAAAGTATTGTTTAAAATATCCTAAATAAGTTTATGATTACAAGAATATGTTTCTTATTTAATAAAATCTAGCCTTATTTTCATATCATTTCCACCCTTGATGCCTGATAGGAATAACCTTGAATAATTCACTATCATTTCATTTGTCAATAAATAGCCAATCTCTTGTCAAGGTCAAATATTTTTAGTAGTTAGTAGGTGGAAGATAAGTACTTTATATTTTGAACTTATTTAATAAAAAAAATCGAAATTTATTAGATCCTCTATTACATAGAACATTTTTATATACAAAGAATTATGGTAGCTAGAAGTGGAAACCATGACGCGGGTTTCGTCCTATTTGGGACACGTCAGTTAGATGTACCTGTACCTCAAAGTTGATGTTCACTCTAAGGTTCGAACTCAGTATCGTTCACTATCCACCTAGCTACTGAGTCCTGATAGCCACTTACTTGTGCAATGGGGTGAAGTTTGAATTTACTTGAATCTTCCCATTGATGTTTAAGACTGTAATTGATCAGTCTCAAATAAAACAAAACATGTGTCCTGGATTCCATAACTAGCCACTATCCATATAATGCTTGTGAATTAAGGTTATATCGAGACAATATGCACAGTATGCATATATGCCTATAACAAACTGATAATCAACTGCAATTCTAAACATCAATGATAGAGACTTTGCTGTAATACGGAGAGTGCTGAAGGCAGTTAGCAAGATGTGTGGTGAATCTTTCGAAGTCATAATTAAGATGGTTGTGGATAGACATCGAAAGTTTTTCAAACTCCTGGCAGGTGTTATCATATCAGATACTAACCATCCCCTTCACTCATATCTTTCTCCTTATATATCCTCTGGTAGAACAAAACATAAATACATTAAAATCCATGCACCCAAGCAAAAGTATAAAAGTTCTATAATACCTTACGTAGCAAATATACTCTGTGACGAACAGGTTGTTAGAGTTAACCTAATCAATAACCTGCATTCCTAATCATGTCTCTAATTTGAAAAGTTGTACAGTTTTTCCGTTTTCTTTTTTGAACCTATTTTCCTTATTTTTGTCTTTGTCACTGTCTTTTTTGCATAAGTAGCTTGTTGAAATACCCTGTGCTGAGAATTCTAAAGTGTAGCAAAATATAATATTGAACGAAGCCATTAATAATAATAATAATAAGAATAAGAATTCACAGATTGAAATCGTGAGTCATTTGAAGCTAGACCACAATGGAAAACCTGGAAGCACTGGACGGCCGTTTCGTCCTAGTATGGGACTCCTCAGCAGTGCGCATCCACAGTCCCGCACCCCGCGGTATTCGAACTCAGGACCCACTGGTTTCGCGCGCGAGCACTTAACCATTAGATCACTGAGCTGGCATGTGCACTGCTGAGGACTTCCATACAAGGACGAAACGGCCGTCCAGTGCTTCCAGGTTTTCCATGGTGGTTTAGCTTCAATCGACTCATGATTTCAATGTGTGAAATTTCTGAAATCTCCACAAACCCCTTCTGATAATAAAGATTGAAGCAAAACAATACTATGTGTATAGAATTGTTTTGTTTAAATCATTCAATCAAAAAACAAACAAACTAAAACTTACTATTTATATCATATTGTTGTATTGACCAAAATGTTGAAGTTTGTGTTAAATTTTGAATTTTAATTTCTATTCTTTTTATTTGTCCAATTAAAACAGTATGAAAATTTAAATTATCATTAGGAAATAATTTAAATTTTGGTCGAATAATTGTAATTTGTGTATATAATTTAAATAGATCATTTATATTATTATTATTATTGATTATTGAATTATTGAAATTTGATTGAATATTATTATGATTGAAATGATTAAATTGAAATAAAATTTCATTTTTTAAAATGAAATAAGAATCATTCACCTAAATCAAATCATAATAATGAATTAATTATTTTAATTTAAAAAAAATGAAAATCAATTATTGAAATAATTTAGATGATTTACATTTTATAGTTGAGGTTATGATTTTTAATTGCATTTAGACCACACTGTAAAAACCTGGAAGGATTGAAAGGTTGTTTCTTCCTATTGTGGAACTTATTAACAATGAGAAATCACGATCCTGACTTACAAGGTATAAACAGAGGATTTATTAGTATTGTGCGCGAACGCTGAACCTCTAGACCTGTTGAGACAGTATCTAGTGGTGTTAATGTCTAACTTCAACTAATCTACATAGTTGAGCGATACATTCATCATTGTCTTCAGTGAGTTACTATTTTATGACAAACATGGTTGAACTCTAGTGGTCACTACTGAGGAGTCCAATAATAGGATGAAGCGGCAGTTCAGTGCTTCCAGGTTTTCCATGTTGGCGTAGCTTCAATTGAATCATGATCTTAACTATTTAAATTATTATAATATTCACAAAAACCCCTTCTCATATTTATATTTAATTCAATGAAGACTTGAAAATTGAGAATTAATTTTCTTTTTATTGATTAAAACAAATCATATCTGTTCAGTTTGAAATTCATTACCAAATTAAAATAATTTAATACGAAGATAATTTTCATTATGAACTCATGTTCACAAGAGATAATATTAAGAACTAGACTAATGAATATTTCATCCAATTTTTGAGCCTGAACACCGATTACCATGACGTGCAATGCTAACCGGCGTTTGGGATGGTTGGAAGAAAGTTAGGGGCGGCCAAACCAAAACGTGGCATCAGTGCTTGAAGTCACGAACTTCTAGTCTGAGCCATGTTGATAGATGCAGACTACTTGGTTGGGGTCCGCGTGACTGTCGTAACCAATGGTTGGAGACTCTTGGTGACATGGCTCAGAATCGATCACAATGGCGTCGGTGTATACACTCTTTGTCTTCCCTTAAACTAAGAGATTAAAATCGCTTCATATCTTTCTTTCTACGAACTAATTCTTTCTTCCTGTACTATATGCTTATTGCAATCTTTCTTTTATATATTATCACCTCTGAATTAACTACTTTTATGAATCCGGTGTCCATCTGGTTGTGTTAATGATGTATGGCAACTTGGACCGATGCATAAATGTGCCTGGTCCTACGTTGTAGCTGACTGACTGAGCTTTTTAATAATACTCATGAGTAACTTCGATCATGATCAGTTCCTAGATTAAGATAATTTGATTATATGCTTATGTAATTTTGTAGTGAAAATCATCTTGAGATTATACATGAATGGGTGACGTAACCATGAGATAAATAGTGTTATTTTCGTTTTTGTTATCTCTTAAAAACTCAAATACGTAAATGAGACTGAGTATCTTATCGAGAATGACTCAAACAAGAATTTACACATTTTCGGAGAGATAACGTTTTACTCACACACAACTGGTAAATAAATAGTCTAATAATAATATCTTCTATTGTCTTGAAACCGTAATAACATAAATTCAGATCTTTCAAAAACACAAGTTCTCACATAGTTGTAGATAAACCTTCCATACGACAGCCAATTAGCATGAAACATAGGCTGAATATTTCCTCTCAAAAAACCTTAAATCAGAGATGTTCACCAACTTAGCTTAGTGAATTAAACGTAATGAATACTAGGCCACATGATACTAAATATTATGCAAAATTAATTATTTGAAACCATAAATGGATTGGCATAGCATCTGTAATCGACGTATTAGTAGTACTGTGGTGAACGAGAACACACAAGTGGGGACAACAGAATGTATTTGTATATAAAATTACAGAATATCTTCATCAAATCTAAGAACCATACAGTAAATACTTCAATTGTAAAGTGTCAATTAATTGTTTCAGGCTTGAATATTCCTTTGTCCCCATACCGATTACACTTTGTTCTCGTTCGCTTCTCTCTGATTTTCTCATGCTTCTGCCGCCAGGCATTCCACTTTCGATCGGTGATACATATTACTTATATCTGCCAACATCATTTGTACTCACCACAGTAGTACTAATGAAACAATTATCTTATTATCGCTGCTTAATACTTTCTCTTTGGTAAAGCATAAACCCTTTCCTCCAGTAATCCAACTTGTTTCATACAAATTCTGTTTTTACGAAATGTTGTTTTCTCTCGCCTTTGTTGCTTATAATATATACTGAGATAATCTGATAAACTATTATCGTAATCCTTAGTTTGATGGTTCTTTTTTTCATTTTTCAAAGTAATACTGTGGTGTGTGCTACTTGTATTGACATAAATAGTATATGATGTTAGTCGTGAACAGAAGGTTTGGCAGCAGAGTGACAAGAGGATCGGACAGTAAAGAATGGAAACAAAATGCAATTTGTATGAAAATGCAAGAACAGTGAAGTCTGAGTCATTATGAGACAATTGGTAGACATTTTGCAAATTAAGCATTTACTTTATGATTGTTAGATTTTATTAACAAGTCCTGTAATTTTGTGTCAGATATATTCGATTGTCCCCATCCGTGTTCTGTTCACTACAATGCGAAAATGTTCATGCATATATACATAAATAATAATTACCTGTAAGCTGCTTGCCGAATCTGTCAAATTATTTGAAGTGATATTATGAAGGCATAAATCCTTTTCTAACAGATAACCAACTGTTATCTATAAATAGATTAAGAAAAAAAAACATAACCGATATTGAAGAAGTGATAACAAACAAGTACCAATAATAATAATAATATTTATCTATATATACAATGAATACTACTTGCAGAAGTTTGGGGAATAGGTGCTATGAACTCTGCCTAACCTTCTCAAGACCAAAGGATATCTCACAGATGTAACCAAGGATGAACGTTGACAAAAATCAGACAGCCGATTCATTTTACGACTACTTAGTATTAAGTATCCATGCTGAATAATATGATTCGACTCATTGGTCTAATAATTTGCTTTTCATCAAGAGGCTTAACGGTTTTAGACTAAATCAAATTTAGTTCGCACACTAACAATTAGTCTCAAACGGTAACATTATCTATTTTTAGTTCTTTGATTTTCAAGTTATCTCGACTGGTTTTAATTTTTCGATGAAAATTACCACTGATGTTCGAAATAACGTTTAAATTTACATTACACAATAGATTTTTTAACGAACAACAATTTTTACAGTATACAAATGTGGAATTTATCATGAATAGTCGGTGATGAAGGAGAACAGAATGAAACTAAGATTTGGTTAAATTAATTGTGGATAAAATATACAACTAATATTGATTAAAATAAAATCTTAACTCTTGGTTTAGGTAGATAATTTTAAACTCATTACAATCTTATGTTAAATTAAGACCACTAAATCTGATCAGTCATCTAAATGGATCAACACTGTCGATCATATTTAAATACTGTAAGGTTAAAGTAGTTTCTCAATAGTTATTTAGGCTTGAATTACAAACACAATATCCATTCTATCCATCTATCTGGAGTAGAGCTTTATATTTAGGAATGTTGTGAGTGTACAACTATTAAGCATTTATTGAACACTGATTATCTAATGTTTATAAAACCAATCAAATAATTAAGATCAATTACAGTTTTGTTTGATTCACTCACTCCCTAACAACTATACAATACATTTTACAATTACAGTTACGAAAGAATGTAACATATATACTCATGTAACTAATACATCATACATATTTGCCAATCAGTATTTCTTTTAAGTATCAGTGACCATGATTACATTTATAAAGGAATATCTAGTTAACCACTTTCAAATATTATACACATAGTTCCCTTTATCATTTTGAAAAGAGCAAAAACAAACATTCTAGCAGAATAACCTGATAAAATATCTGCTGTAAATTGTTTATTTCACTAATTATGTAAATATAAACGTAAAACTCGAATAAGAAATGATAAAAAGATACAATAAAACATGAATTATTGAACATTCACATTTTAACACTTTAACAAAGTTTAAACTTTAGTCATTATAATCTTTATACTTGAATGAATAAATTTTAAATTTAAGATGCTTTGCTTCTCAGTTTAATCACTTTTACTAAGAAAGTTCGTTTGATAATTTCAACTAGTATAGAGAATGACCAGAATCATAAAAATAATCGATTTAAATGATCAGAAAAGGGTTTTGTGGATATTATAGTAATTTAATAGTTGAGTTCATGAGTCGATTGAAGCTAGACCACCAAGGAAAACCTAGAAGCACTGGGAAGGCCGTCTCGTCCTAATATAGAACTTCTTAGCAGTGCGCATCCACGATCCTGCTCTGCAGGATTCGGACACAAGACCTGTTAGTCTCGCGCGCGAATGTCTAACCTCTATACCATTGAGCCGGCATCCTATGGTGTTAATGTCTAACTTTAACCAATCCACAAAATTAAGCCACCGTTCACCATTTTCTTCAATGAGTTACTACGTCACAACAGACCTGGTCAAACTTCACTGGTCACAACATAATTCAGTAATGTGATTGATAATTAACAATTTATCAGTATCAGAATTTGTAGAGAATGTAGTATTTTCACAATTGAATTCCTTAGTCAGGAAATCGGAGATCCTAGGTTCAAGTCCCACGTGCATAATCATCGATAAGCACTGCTGAGAAGTCTCATACTAGGATGAAACAATCATTCAATGTTACCAGGTTTTTCATGATGGTCTAGCTTAGATCGACTAGCGAATTCAATGAACAAAGTCCATATGTTCAATAATGTTATATGGATGAATACATTTCAATGTGAATAATAGTAATTATCCTAAATTACTTTTCATATTACGGCAAAAATTGATCCTTTCCATTTGTAAACAATAAATATCTTGTTTAAATAATTAATGAATTGATTAATTAATCTTAATAATTTATGTGTTTTTTTTTATTAGATTCTTTGTACTTTTTCTAAATGTTTCAACTAGATACACAAACAACTGAAATACCCATGTGTTAAATATACTGAAGTAAAAGGTTGTTTATCACATGATTAAGATTTCGTCAATTGACAGATATACATAAAAATGAATGTACTATTATGTATAACACTTAAATGGAAGTGTTTTTTTACTTTATTTTTTTGTTTCACAACTTTGTTTGAATGAATTAGATAATTATTTTTTAGTCTTATGTAACTTGAAATATTACACTAATCGATACGGAAGTTAAAGTGATTTTAATCAAGTAATAAAAAAGCACCTACTGTTCGAACTTGGAGTCTGTATGGCCTATTAATGTATAACCTAATGGTACCGCCAATTAGAGAGCAGTGAATTATCAATCGAACCAATGACACACAAAATCGCAGATGATCTGACTCTTCTATCACACACGCAAAAACTAATTCAGGAAAAGATGATGGGTGTAGCAGTAGCCTCAGAAGCAGTAGGTCTTAACATAAACAAAGGGAAAAGCAGGATTCTTCGAAACAACACTGCATGCAACAATCGAATCACACTTGATGGAGAAGCTTTGAAAGATGTAAAAAGCTTCACATATCTGAGCGGCATCATTGATGAACATGATGGGTCTGATGCAGATGTGAAGGTGCGGATCGGTAAAGCAGGAGCAGCTTATCTACTACTTGAAGGACATCTGGAACTCAAAACAATTGTTGACCGACACCAAGGTCAGGATTTTCAATACAAATGTCAAGACAGTTCTACTGTATGGGATGGAAATCTGGAGAACTACGAAAGCCATCATCCAGAAGATATAGGTGTTTATTAACAGTTGTCTACGCGAAATACTACGGATTCGTCGGCCGGACACTATTAGCAACAACCTACTGTTGGCGAGGACGAACCAGATCTCAGCGGAGGAAGAAATCAGGAAGAAGCGCTGGAAGTGGATAGGACACACATTGAGGAAAGCACCGAACTGCGTCACAAGACATGCCTTGACATGGAATCCTGAAGGCCAAAGGAAAAGAGGACGACCAAAGAACACATTGCGCTGGGAAATGGATATAGACATGAGAAAAATGAATAAGAATTGGATGGAATTAGAAAAGAAGGTCCAGGACAGAGTGGGTGGGAGAATGCTGGTCGTCGGTCTATGCTTCATTTGGAGTAACAGGCGTAAGTAAGCAAGTAATGACACACAAAACACGTACGAACAGTCTAGAGTCCTTATTGATCCTGTTTCCTGCCTAGCACAGTCAGTTGAGTCCAGAACACAAATATCAGCCTATGTGATATCAATCGTTTACTTCAAACATACTCGGTATATATACCAACCAGACAGGCCATATCGTACTATAAAATATGAAACACCATTTGAACAACATTTAGCCAAATGTAGCTGTGAATGTGGAAGGTAGTAGTGATTAATATACAGGGCATAATTCAAGAATGGTAAATGGTGTAATAATAGTTCATAGATCGAAATGAAGCTCATAATAAGAGGGACATGAATATGAATAGTTTTTTTATCTAACAATTATACGATAAAAATATACGCATAGTATCGGTCCATAAATGGATCACAAAAGTTACCGTTTATTATACTTATCGGGACATAACACCTACACTATATCGATGAATATTGTACAAACATAGTAGGGTTAAATAAAAAATAAAATTGGTTGAATTTCAATCCAATGGAAATAAGAATGTAAATTTATTTATGATGCATTTGTTTTCTTCTAAACAAAGTATATACCTCTATAATTAACCAGTATCGATGTTTAAGCTGACTATAGAAAACGAAGTTGTAATTGAGTTGATGATGTCATTTATATCCATCAGCTAGCTCTAGTTGCTTGATGATTGATGAAATGTCAATGTAAATAGAAAATCAGCTTGCTTAAAGTGTATTACATAAGCTGCAAATTGAATTTTAATCTTCTTATCAAAGAGTGGGTTTTGGTGCTATACGGTTCTTTTTATATTAAACTATGGATGCGGTATAGGGCCTATTGAATTTAAATACATTGTAACAAGTGAGCATAGCTTACAAATGATAGAATCATACACGACCTGGATAATATTTATAGAAAGGTGTAAGGTGTAAGCCCTCAAACTAAGTAAAAAAATCATATATTGATTCTTATAATACAGTTTTGTGTCGAATAAATCTTAAAAGAAGTAAACTGTGAAATTTTAGGAAAATATTAAACTGATTACCTTACATCTCATTCAGTATATATTATCTCATTTTAGTAAGTGTTATTTAAACTTACTTTTTGTAATTTACCTGGGTTGAGAGTTAAGGTGATTTGTGGTTTATAGAGTTGCTCAAACGACATTTTTGTCATTGGCATCATTGTTGTCAAATTATCATCTTGCGAGTCTGTAATGATATCATCATCTTCGTTCGTATTGTATGGTTTTTCCTCTCTAACATGAAATCCCAAATACTTCGTTTCGTTTGCTTTTATACAGATTGTGACTGGTATACTATTTGGGCATCTTATGTGAATGTCGCGTAAGAGGACTATACTACTTATTAGTAAACAGTTGGTCTCATTCAGAAGTGTACGTGGAATTCTTCGTTCCATCTGCGTTTGTTGATTAACTTGTTCCGAATTCTTGGATTGGTAGGAATAGTTTTTAGGTACACTAACTGTGTTTTCTTCTGCTTTCTTTTTCAGGGAATTAACAAGAAATTGTCCTAATCCTGATTTAAAATGCAGAATCCTTGGTCGTGGAGGATTAGGAGATGTGCTTACAATTTCCAAGGGATTATTGTTTAGATCAATAATGAGTCTGTTTTGAAATCAATATTATGTTTAATAAAAAACAAAATTAATATCTAATATAAGACTAAGAGCTATTCATAAGCTTTCAAGAGACGGACTGTTAAACTACCAATAGGATTTTGTTCTATTTAGGACGTATGTGCGGATTAAAGTGGATACGCGTTGAATATGTATATATATAATCGCTGTAACAGATGACGATAATACATGGAATATGATGACTTCATATTATTCTGCTCCAATTGTTGTTTTGGCTTTATTCAAATCGGGAATATGTATATTCCATAACTAATAGATTGATATCAATTAGGATAAGGCTAGAAAGCAGAGAGCTATGGACAGATGTTTTGTTCTAGTATGGAACTCCTTAGCAGTTTGTATCCACGACCAGGGTTTTCAGGCTTTGTGTAGAATGTTTGACCTTTAGAACCACTGGAGTGGCGTGGGAATAGATGTTCACTGCTGCCTGTTTTTCAGTAGTACATTAGCCGTGATCAATCGGTGATGGATACTAGTTGCAAATTAAATTGATCTCCACAAAACTTTAGATAGATTAGGAATATCCCTGCTAATCATAAAATGATTTTGAGTATCATATCAACAATAGCCATTTTCCATTAAGATTAGCCTAGCTTCGACATATAAGTACTTAATTTACTTATTTCATTGTTCTAGTCATTATCTTACAGAAAGAAATGCCTTATATCAGCAACATGAACTTTTGTTTAAACAATAAATCTTGAATGTTTTGTGCAATCAACGTATAGTTATCTACGATTTCCAAATAAACACTGGTTCGACACTGCATGTCATACCTAGATTTTGTTTTACTACTAATATGACGGGACTAAAAGAGCAAAATCAAGTCAGTTTGATATTACTAATATGTGTTCTCATATTAAATTATTGGTTGATTGACATTAAATAGTCCTCAGTCAAACTATACAAATCTGTTTGTGAATTTGAGGTAGTGTACGTATACATCATTTGGATTTATTTTGGTTCATAAATAAAACCTTAAAACAAACATTTGTTTTCCATTAAGCATCTTCTAATTTGGAGTCTTAGTATGAAGCACTAGTCAGTTAAGCATTCCACAGACTTAACAGACAGACAAACGCAACAACTACATTATTAGTATACATACTTTTTAATATATAAGTATGAAACACATACAGATGCAAAACAGTTGGTAACCTTGAATACTAAGCCGTGTTTCTATAAGAAACAATCAATAAAGAACTAGTTATCTACAAAAGTTTTATTTTTTTCCAGTTAGAAATATATCTAACACTACAGTATTTGACTCCTGTTCTCTTACATATAAGTCTTGATATGTAGGTTACTATGAATGAAATTCTATGAAATTTGAACTTGAATGAATAAAGTTAGAAAATTGTGTGCCGAATGTTCAAAGGTTATCATATTTGATCATTGGAATGATCTAGATCAGTAGCTTATTTTTCTTGCCGTATATTTCAAAAAGAATTATTTATTTACCATATCATAAGCATTTTGTAAATTTAATATTTATTCAGGAATAGATCACTATTACACATTGAAAACCACTAAACATTTTATTCTGACATCTGATGTCTATTTATTATTTACATAGTCGTTACGTTTTATATGTATACACTTTTAACAGGAATTAGTCGTATAGTTATAATATTTATTATTGTTAGAGAAGATATGAACTATGGTGTTGTTGAAATTTGGGACTGAATTTCAAAATGATAGTTCACACGGGATCTACTTATATTGTGGTGTGTGCTACTTATATTGACATTAGTAGTAGATGATGTTAGTCGTGAACAGAATGTCTGGTAGCAGCCTGGAGCTGAGGTGCTAGTTGTGGCGGTCTGGTGCGGAGGGGTGGCGTTGAGTCGAGTGTTCTGGCTGGGCGGCATTGTCTGTAGCGGGTTCTGTCAACGGAGAGAAGCGGAGGGAAGTGCGGCTGCTGGGCGGAAATCGGATGTAGATGACTCAGAAGGTCGGTGAAGCACGGGTGTTAAGCGTCCCAGGTGCCGGGTGGATGTCGGGTGTTGTTGCCCCGGCAGGTCGACGGAGCTATGGAGGTCAGCGCGCCGTAGACTCGGCATTTTGACGGAGAGAGTGGCACAGACTACAGAGACGAAGAATGTGGCACGGCAAGCATGGACCACCGCAAGAACGACTGCTATAAAGGGGGAGACGAGTGTGATGTGTGCTACTTATATTGACATAAGTAGTATATGATGTTAGTCGTGAACACAAAGTCTGGCACCAGAGTGACAAGAGGATCGGACAGTAAAGAATGGAAACAAAATGCAATTTGTATGAAAATGCAAGAACAGTGAAGTCTGAGTCATTATGAGACAATTGGTGGACATTTTGCAAATTAAGCATTCACTTTATGATTGTTAGATTTTATTAACAAGTCCTGTGATTTTGTGTCAGATATATTCGATTGTCCCCAACCGTGTTCTGTTCACTAAAATATCAATGAAGACTGGAAAACATTCAGTCTTGAACATCAACAAGAGTACAATCTAAAACCTTACTAATCATGACACAAATATAATATCTATTGAACGATTAGCGGTTATCTGAACTCAGTAGATCAGTGGATAACGAATTGAGCATTTGAAGAGAAATGTTCAAGTCTAACTGTCAACGTTACCTGAAATGCAGTCGCATTCAAATGACATGATCAAAGTATGATGAAACGTGTATTCTGGATTGTATTGTTATTTAAATTTTTGACAAATACATAAGAGTTTCTCATATTAATCATTATTTTATAAAAGTTAGGAATATGTGTGTTATTTTTCATCTTACACATTTTGATATAACTTATTGTGTAGCATTGTTTCGAATGAAAAAATAAAGCGACTCGGCTTTATAAACAAATCATTTCACTTTCTGCAACTCATTTTAAATATTGTTTAGGCATGAGATTTAAGATCAAACTATTTTAAGTGTGAGAGTTCGTGTTAATACTTGACTGAAATGAAATAGACTTTCGTCAACCTTAGCCTTGAACACATTATTGATTCCTTCAACTATTCAGAAACTATTACAAGTAGTTGAATTACACTGTTCATCATTATAGTAGACAAAATAATAGATATTTTCTTTAAGCAAAATTACATACTACTCATTGAATCAAGAAGAAATAATAAGCATCTAATTGAGTAAAAACATTAAAACAATTTCAGATAATCTCACAAACGAACATGAACTATTCATTATGAACAACAACAAAAAAACAACAACACTTAATTCGTATAAACAGTATCTACGTAAAACAATTTACCTAGGTTGTTCCAATTTAGCAGTTATATCAAAACGTAATTGTTCTGTGATTAATGCATGTGTACGTGGAATATCCAAATAATATTTTGAGTCTATAGTTAAATAACCAATTATATGAGCTTTTAAATTGAAAATTTCATAACATTTCATATCTGAATACGCTTCTATTGGATTCATTAAAATTGTAATTGTAGCTTCTTCATGTGGTTGTATTATCAACTGTTCAGGTGATATGATGAATAGTTTACTAAAATTATCATTATTTGATGGAATAATTTGAGATGATGATGATTCCCAGATTAATTTTCCATCATATGGTCGAAGTACTAAATTAATTAATTGATTTTTAGCGGAATCTTCAGCTGATGCTACAGATATGGTAGAAACGTATAAATGAATATTTAGGCTTCTAGTTATCAAAAGAACTATATGTATATAATTGTTATTACACATAAGATACAAGTTTATTGAAATGGCCGAAAATGATGCTTGATAACAAAGGTTTGATTTAATTACTGAATTATTGAGTGTAACCGACTTTAGGTTTAATCATTTATAATAATATTTAATTAAGTTAAATAATTTACCAATGGCCGAGTATTTATCTTAAAAGAATATGTCTCTGACTGTGAGCGCGCATGACGCAGAGTCGAATCCACCAGGTAGCATCAGTTTTCTCAAGATTACAAGTACACCTTTCTTCCATCTCAAAAAAGTGCATGTGTTGTCGAAACATTCAGAGTAATGCTCATATTCCAGCTTAGATAAGCACTTAAGACTTGATATACATGACATTGAACACTATCCAGCTATCAGTACGAATACGTTTAAAATCCAATTTTTGGTGGAGTTGTATTCTCTCGACTGGGTGATTTTGTCATAGAGCTCTCATTATCTTTCCAAAGAATATCATCAGAACCAACTTCATGTACAATTTTTTTCTAGAAAAACAATGAAAGCTTCACGACTAAACAATCCAGACTAGTCTTAGCATCATGATGAAATCATTCTTCTTGACTGTAAATCTTTTCTGCCCTCAAGTAATCCACGTTTTACGTCTTCAAATAACAGTTTAATTGGCTGGTATTAATGATGTTGAAGTCTTGTCACCAGTTAAATTACTATCATAAGGAGTCAGCATCCGAAAACACAAAAACTACTTTTGCCTAATAATAACATCTTGTCTTGTATCTATCATATGAATTGTATTACTTAACACATATTCTATAACTATAATTTAAAGAACATGTTTTAAAAATATATATATATATCCCGTTTTTTCTGTCAAAGTTCTCTCTTTTAGTCATACGATAAGGTTCCCAAAATTAAATTATCTACAGTACCTTCACTTATGAAAATTTCACTACATAAGAATGATACTCTAATACATTAATAGTAAATAAATTCGCTAAATGATTATATTTTATTAAACCGAAACAATGGTCAAATGAACATCTCTTTATGACAATACGTCAAGTAAGTTAAAAAAAACATCTTATTCATACTTTATAGTATGCGATTCCCATTCATTCAAACTAACCAACTGTTTTAATAAACCAGTGTAAGTGACATCACAATGTAATGATATTTATTAAAGCAACTCAATCATAGATCCTTACTAATAAGAGAATCGTAATGGGTTAGAATTCAAGTTTTATTTATTATTAGAAGGGGTTTTGTGGAAATTTTAGAAATTTCAATAGTTTAAAGCATGAGTAAAATCAAGCTAGACCACCATGGAAAACCTGAAAGCACTGAACGACCGTTTCGTTCTAGTATGGGACTCCTCAGCAGTGCGCATCTACGACCCCGCCCACGCGAGATTCGAACCCAGGACCTATCAGTTTCGCACGCGAGCGCTTAACTATTAGACCACTGAGCCGGCATCCAATGGTGTTGTTTATTAATTATTAAATGTATATTGATTTTTTACCCTAAATGAAATAATTGTAAAACTAATTAAACATTGTTACCAAGGTGATTACACATAACTATGTCTAAGAATGTTAACTCACAATAAATTATAAATATGAACAGCTTACTGGCATCCATTGTTTATTAATAATTTATTAAATAATATTAGTTTTACTATATAAAAGGCTTATCAATGATATGGATAATTCTGTATAAACTGTACTGTACACACGAACAAAAATCAATCCAAAAAGAGTATGCGAAAATCAGCATCCTGACACGTCATTGATATATAGAAACTACGATGGATAACTTTTCTAATTCATAAATCAAAACATTTAGGACGTGATTAATTTTGTAATGAAAGGTATAACTAAAAATCAATCTATCTATGATAATTTATGATATATATATATATATATATATATATATATATATATATATATAATGGTTAGTTAATGATACTTTACACGAATACTCGTATAACAGTACTACTAAACTCCATAAAGCTAAATACTCTGTTATTAATTAAACAGAATATACGGTTGTATATATGAATAAATTCACTAGGATTTGGTTTGACAAAACAATCTTAATGAATTTGTCTCATTAGACCTGTCATAAATGTCAATAATGACATTAATTTATTTATTCGAGATAATAACATAAGTATAAAGAATTATAAATTCATTACGTAACGTAATGAATCTGTCTTGATTTTATACTGAATAGAAAAACCAAACAAATAAACAAAATTATGCAATTACTGTTTGCTATCTGGTCAAATAAATGAAGTATTTCATTGGAATCACGATTTGATCTTAGTTTATTACCTATTGAAAACCTGAAACCATTGGACATTCATCTCGTCCTGATATGTGATTCTTTAGTAAGCCGCATCCACGACCTATCGTTAGGAAATGAATCCAGAACCTTTGACCTCACAACCGAACGCTTAATCTCTGAACTACTGAGCCAGAGTCTAATGGTGTTCAAACCTAGTTAACCCTATGAATGTACGATCGAAGGTATTGTATATAGTTTCTGACTAGGGGTTGTGGATATGAATTGCTGAAACGTCCCATACTAGTACAAGATGGATGTTTAGTGCTTCCAGGTTTTCAACGATTGCATAACTAAATAATCAATTCAGAATTTCAATGAAATTCAACAATCTCCATAACCGCATACTAAAAACTAAATACTACTGATTTTTCTAATAGAGCTGAACGGTCATCTCCATTTATGTCTACATAGTGAACAAAAATATATCCTTAATAAAAGAACAATAATACTATCTAACTAGAGATTTTTAAGTAACTTAATGTACTATATTTAGCCACAAAGCTTGCATGTGTGGAGGGAACTTGAAGGCAAAATATATTTTGTAAGTATTGTACTCACAAAAACATTAGAAAAGATCATCAGGAAGAAGTTTCAACAAGGGATATACTTTTGTAGTTAAAATTTAATTAAACCACTTCATCACAGAATAGCAATCATGTGCTGTGATAATACATTAGAAAGCAAATTACGTACTCTACTCAATCCGCTCACAAAAGGAGAAAACCATGTGATACTCATAAGTGATAGAAAACCACACATGTTTTTAACGCTCTCCATAGTAACAAGTTAGCTGTAGGATGAGTAGCCTAAACTGGTTGCTAATATTTAAGTTTATGAGTAAAAGCACTCCTCTACTCGACACATTCGAAGAATTCACGTTTCCTTATTGACTAAACCTTTTCAGTGTAGTTAAGTAAACATTTAGTGAAAACAGTAAATTCAACCATCAGTTATTGAATTCAAAAGAAATAAAAAAGCGTCAATTATTTCTAATAATCCCCTTTGTTATTAGTTATCTGTCAGAAAATGACCGAACTCAAAATCCTTCCAACAGTAAGTATGACAATATCAATTTTAAAAAAATAACGAAATTCTAGGTAACAAGAACCAGCCCCAAGATTTTATCTAAGTTAAACCAGTCTCAGTTGTTAACTTTTACAAGACAGTAACCTTGTAGCTTACTTTTGTTATCCCAAATGGAGCATAGGACATTGATAAGCATTCTACAACCCACTCTGTACCGGGCATTCCTTTCTAGTTCTATCAAATTTTTGTTCATTCTTTTCATGTCTGTCCCCATTTCTAGACGTAATGTATTCTTTGGTCTTCCTTCTCTCCTTTGACCTTGAAAATTCCAAGTGAGTAATTGCCCTGTGACACAGTTCGGTGCTTTCCTCAATATGTATCCTATTCAATTCCGGTGCTTCATCCTGATTTCTTCACCCACTGGGATTTGGTTTGTTCTCTCCCACAGTAGGTTGTTGATGATAGTGTCTAGCCAGCGGATCCGAAATGTTTTGCACAGACAGCTGCTGAGGTTGCTGCTACGTTGATCGTCTTCTTCTGCATTTGTTGTTGCGTGTGCGATATAGGAGCCAGATCATCTGGGAAATCTAGATCATCCGGCTGCATGCTAGCTGTCCATTGTATCCCATGTTTCCCTCCAGATGTTGATGTCTTCATAATCCAGTCAATCACCAGGAGAAAGAGAAAGGGCGGAATTAAGCAACCTCGCCTAACACCGATCTTTACTTCGAACGAATCTGTCTGCTGTCCCCTATGCATGATTTTACAGTTTATTCCATTTTAGGAGTTCCGTGTCGAATAAAGCTCCATAGGGTTGTCCCGTCCACTCTATCAATCGCTTTCTCGTAGTCAATGAAGTTGATATAGAGTGATGAATTCCGTCCAACTGATTGTTTCACAATGATCTGTGGTGTCGTGACTTGGTCGGTACACGATCTATCCTTACGGAATCCAGACTGTTGGTCTCGAAGCTGGATGTCTATGGAGTTCTTCATTCTGTTTAATAACACCCTGTTGAAGACATTTTCTTGGTATTGAAAGAAGAGTGACGCCTCTGTAGTTCTCACACTTGCTGAGATCGTCTTTCTTTGGTTTCTTGATGAGTTTTCCTTCTTTTCAGTCTGTTTGCACTTGATGTTCATCCGAAATCTTGCTGAAGAGAATGTGGAGTATCATAGCAGTTACTGCTACGTCTGCTTCCAGTGCTTCTGCTGGAATGTTTTCTGATCCCGCTACTTTTCCGCTTTTGATCTGTCTGATGATCATGCTGATCTCATCAATTGTTGGTGGGCCAACATTGATCGGGTAATTCATGGGTAAGAATAATCTAAATCTACTATTGTGATGCCTTATTATTTTACTCAAATAAATTTGAATAATTAATTTATCATACATCTCATTTTTATCATATCTAACTTAATAAACACTATTTCATACATTATCTAGTCTTTGAACTAATATTTAGTCTGGTTATTATTAACCTTACGGTTTTGCACACTTTAATTGGTTTCGAAATTTCAGTTAACCTCTATTTATTTCATGTATACTTTAAACAATTGTCATTTAACGGTAATAAACCCCA